CACCATAGACATTACGCTAACTGCTGGGCCCAGCAAAGAAAGTTTTTATCCTGTACTTTATATATAAACTGTACCACCAGTCAACCAGGTGGTATATGAAGGGAAATGCTTTTTTTTTTTTGGGAAATGCTTCTTTTTTAGAAATATCCCAGTAAGGCCAGCAGGTGATGTGATGGTTATGGCACTGGACTCCCACGTGATCTATTGTGGTTCGAGTCTCAGACCCAGCAAGTTAAAACTCACACGGGGTGCATGTATGTGCATGCCAAAAATCCCAAGAAGGGAATAGAGAAGGGACTGTGCTATGGCCTTCCCCCTAGGGGGTGATTTCTCACTGTCTGTCTCTATCTCTGTCTCTGTCTCTCCAGCCAGTGCACATGCCCTATAGCAAAAATCTCTCTCAAAATGAAAAAGAAGAAAGAAACCTCCCAGCTAAAAAATAAATAAGGAATATTAAAGTTAGAATCAGAATATCATCATATTTCTGGGAACCAGCAGTTAGCATAATGGCTATGTCGCTAGACTCCCACGTAGTCGACCGTGGTTTGCGTCCCGGACTCAGTGGCTTAAAACTCATGCCGGGCGCATGTGTGTGCGTGCCCAAGATCCCGAGAGGAGAACGGAGGAGAAGGGATTGTGGCATGGCCATCCCCCCGGGGGCTGATTTCTCGCTTTCTGTCTCTCTGTCTCTCTCTGTCTGGCAAGCGCACGTGCCCTATAGCAAAAAAAAAAAAAAAAACTAAAAAAAAAAAAAAAAGAATATCATCATATTTCTAACCCCTAATGAATGAATGAAGGGACCTAGCCATGAAGCATCAGTAGTTACTAATATCACAAAGAGACAACCAGTGACAGCACACACCACCATCTACAAAATATTTGTGCCAAAAAGAAATTGAATCTTAATCTAATTGAGGCTCCAACCATGAATTTACAGGAACTAGAGGGTAGAGAAACATTTTAAACTGTAAGGAACATTTTAAACTACCTTATGGGGATGCAATCAGCAAAATTCAGGATCTGGAAAACAATAGCTTCTTCAATAAATAAATTGCATAGGCAAAAAAGGGGGTGGGGGTGGGAGAGGTGGGCAATGTGTTATCCTGACTTTGATCCTGACAAACTAACTAAATAAAAGAAAGGAAGGAAGGAAGGAAGAAGACATGAGGGAATTTAAAATTTGAACACTGAATGAATATTTGAAAGTAGTGAGGAATTATTTTTTATTTTTATTTGGATATATTTTGACATTATGGTTTTTTTTTTAGTTCTTATATTTCAGAGATGCACACCTAAATATTTAAAAAGAAATTTTATAATGCCTTAGATTTGCTTCAAAATATTTTTTAATCGCCAGAGGATATGTAGTGCTTGTTAAAGAGAGAGAGAGAGAGACAAAGAGAGAGAGAGAGTGAGAGACCCACCCTCCCCCCAGTGGGATGGTCACACCATAATCCCTTTCTTCTATTTCTCCTTCCCATCAGGATTCTGGGCATTCACACACACACACACACACACACACACACACACGTCTGGTGTGTTTTCAAACTGAATCCTGACTTCAAACCAGTTAGCCATATGGGTCCAGTTCCCAATGCACAGTCCTTAACCATTGTGCTACAGGGTCAGCCCCCAAATAATTATTTTTTCAGTCTATTTGATTCTTCCCTGAGATAGAGACAGAAACAGAGAGACAGGCACCGTCAACAGCTGGTCCAAACCATGAGCACATGTATGCCCAGCATCCTCGGGAGGTCACAGGGTGTGAGCCGACGACCTTTCCCATGTGGTGCAGTTGTATTACCACTGTACCAACATGTGGCTCATTCAAAAACATATTGGTGAGAGAGTAGGTGGCAGTATAGCTCAAACAAAACTGGGTGAAGAAAACATTCATACACAAGTAGAAGAGTATGCATTATTATACTACTCTACTTAGGTATTTGAAAATATAAATAAAATGTTTTTTTAAAGAATTATTTTATTTAAGTTTATTTACTTTAATTTGGCCAGAGAGGGACAGAGAGAGAGAGAGAGAGAGAGAAAGAGAGAGAGAGAAAGTGAGAAAGCAAGCTGCAGGTCTGAGACTTGAACTATGGTCAGTCATTTGGGAGTCCAGCACTCTTAACCACCATAGCACCTGCTGGGCCCAGTAAAATGTTTTTAATAAAGGGAGGAGCTTGTTAGACAAGGGATTTAGTAGACCTAAAAATTATCAAAAAATGAGATTACCTCACATTGTAAGCTAAACAATGTGATTGAATGTATATAAAAAAATTAGTAAATTAAAAAAAATGAGATTAACAAAAGGCCAGTTTAGTGCTAATATAAATTGTGCTAACAGTGTATAGTGAATAAAATGATCTAAATTCATTTAAGCTTAGTTCAAGAAAATTTTGAAACTGTTCTACTCCTGAGTTTTCAAAAGTCTATTTTTCATAGGTTTTAGCACTACTTTAAAGTAATTTTTTTCTGCTTCATAGGTTTACAGCCCAAATCAAGCAAAATTTACAACCAGAAGAGTAAATTCTATATTTATTATCATTTACTAATCCCAACTGCTACGTGAAAGAACTCTCTTTAGAAGACAGGGGAGGGGGCCAGCAGGTGGTGTGGTGGTTAAGGGCGCTGAACTCCCACATAGCCAACCACAATTTGAGTCCTGGACTTTGCGGCTTGCTTTCTCTCTCTCTCTCTGTCCCTCTCTGGTCAAATTGAAATAAATAAATGAAAAAAATAAATAAAGTTAAGTAAAATAATTTTTAAAAAAGAAAAAGAAGACAGAGAAGTCTTTTAATTCATAGCCCATTCTATTTTTCACCAGGAAACTCAGCAAAAGACTGATTCTAATATATGTCTACTTAAAGTTGGCTATATTATATATATCACATGTATAAAAGTATGTATAATCTGAGTACAAAAATACAAAAGTGTTTACTCTTTCTTGAGGATCTAGTGATAAGACTGAAAAACACTGGCATGACTACGTATCTATTAGAATAGCTAAAATAAAAAACAGAGACACTAAATGCTTGCGAAGATACAAAGAAACTGGATCATCCTTTCGTCGCTAAGGGAATGTAATATGGAATAAACATTGTGCCAAGCATTTGGCAGTTTCTTAAAACACTAAACGTGTAGTGAGACAACTCCAGCAATTGCTGTTGGGTATTATTTATGTTCACACAAAAACCTGTATGCAGACGCTTATAATGGCTTTATTTGTTGTATTGGGTCATCAGGAAAGTCATGATGCCTTTTTGCATAGAAAAATAGGTCAATGACTTCCCCGATGACCTAATAATTAAAAGGGAAACAATTCAGACATCCTTCAATGGCAAACCGTTAAACTAACTGTAGTACATCCATACAGTGGAACAGTACTCAGCAATAAAAAGGAATGGACTCGTAATACATGCAGTGGCCAGGATGAATCTCCAGAGAATTATACTGTGCAAAAAAAGCTAATATCTGAAGGTTACTTACTGTATAATTCTATTTATGGAACATTACTAAGGGATCCTTGTGAAGATGGAAATGTTCTGTCCTGACTGTATCAGCGTTAACGTCCTGGTTATGATAGTGTATGCTCATTGTATAAAATGTTACCTTGTGGAAAGCTGAATAAAGAATATATGGGATCTTGGGGCTGGCAGGTGGCATGGTAGTTAAGGGCACTGGACTCCCACATGGCTGATCACGGTTCAGGTCCTGAACTGGGCAGCTTGCTTTCTCTCATTTCCTCTCTCTCTCTCTCTCTCTCTGTCCACCTCTGGTCAAACTGAAATAAATAAATGGATAAATAAAGTTAAATAAAATAATTCTTAAAAAAAAAAAGAATATATGGGATCTCTATATATTTTTTTTACAACTGCATGTAAATCTACAATTATTTCAAAATTAAAAGTTTAACTAAAAAGAAAACCTGCAACTATTAGCCAGAAACCAACAAATAAAAAACAAACAGGGCTGGCAGGTGGCGTAGTGATTACGTGCACTAGAGACCTACATGTCTGACCGTGGTTTGAGTCTTGGACTTGTGGCTTGTTTTCTTGCTTTCTCTTTCTTTCTCTCTCTGTCTCTGTCTGGTCAAATAAAAAATAATAGCAAATGAAATGAAATAAATAAATAATTCTTTAAAAAAATTATGATGATAGAAACTAATAAATTCCCTATTTTTACCTCTTGGGGTATTATACAGGCTAAACAAAATAAAATATGAGTGAGCTCTTTATATAATATAAAGTCATATTGTAAAAGTTAATTTTTGGCATCACTATTAAATAGTAGTAGTATATGCTGAAGAAAGTTTGTATGTTTTAAATTATTCTATAAACCCTAAAATTCCAAAGCTTTTAAGATTTACAGGTTCTCACATGCCTTATTTACTGACCTTGGTTTGGAAACATTAGCAAATAGACTACCCTAATCCTACAAGGATCAATAATGACATCTAGAGGAGAACAGATGTAAGTTCCACAGCAGAATGTATTGGATAGAAAAGGTCATACAAATGGTCCAGTATCACAAACCTATTTCACTTCTAAACCGCCCCTAGCCCCCTAAAAATTGTAAAAGTAAGAGATACTTACCTGATGATTTTTATTCTTTATATATTTTAAAATTTTTATTCATTGTCATTATTTTATTATTATTATTTTTTAAGTTGACCAGAGAGAGACAAAGACAGAGAGAAGGAAAGTGAGAAAGCAAGCTGCCAGGTTCAGCACTTGAACTGTGGTCTGCCACGTGGGAGTCCAGCTGCCTTAACTACCACGCCATCTGCTGGTCCCTGATGATTTTTTTTTTCTTTTTTGGAGAGGTTTTTGCTATAGGGCGCATGCGCTCGTCAGACAGACAGAGAGACAGAGAGACAGAAAGCGAGAAATCACCCCCCAGGGGGGATGGCCACGCCACAATCCCTTCTCCTCCCTTCTCCTCGCCACAATCCCTTCTCCTTCATTCTCCTCTCAGGATCTTGGGCACGCACGCACATGTGCCTGGCATGAGTTTAAGCCACCGGGTCTGGGACTCGAACTGCTGTCGACTACATGGGAGTCCAGCAACATAGCCATTATGCTAACTGCTGGTCCCATGATTTGTATTTTTAAACACCACATAAAGTAGCAAAGAGAAGTGGAGAGCTTTCATCTGATATGTAAAGTAAATCTCTGCTTTCCAACCAACTCAGGTATACCATACCTCCAAATAAAGAAATCAGCTTCCATACCCTTTTTAAAAAATTACTTATTTAATTTTATTTATTCACTCATTTATTCTAATTTGATCAGAGAGAGACAGACAGAGAGAAGTAAAGTGAAAAAGCAAGCTATCAGGTCTGGGACTTGAACCATGGTTGACCACGTGGGAGTGTCCAGTGCTTTATCCGCTTTAACCTGCTGGCCCCTGTACCTCAATTTTTAAGTAAAAAATAGGAATTAAGGGGAACCAGCAGTTAGCGTAATGGCTATGTCGCTGGACTCCCACGTAGTCTACCGCGGTTCGTGTCCCGGACCCGGTGGCTTAAAACTCACGCCGGGCGAGTGTGCGTGCGTGCCCAAGATCCCGAGAGGAGAATGGAGGAGAAGGGATTGCAGCGTGACCATCCCCCCTGGGGGGTGATTTCTCGCTTTCTGTCTCTATGTCTCTCTGTGTCTGTCTGGCGAGCGCACGCGCCCTACAGTGAAAATCTCTCAAAAAAAAAAAAAAAAAGGGAATTAAGTATACATTTTGTTTTATTGGCAAAGGTGAGATATGAAATTTGGCTATTTATACAACTTTTGACTGATAAAGCATCTTGAAAGACAGAGTTAAAAGTTAAAAATAGTTCAATCATTGGTATATAATGTTGGCCACAAGTCTTTTTACTACTTTGAAAGGAAATTAAATAAACTTTTACAGTGATAAAGTAAATGAACCTACTGATGTTACTAAGTGCTCAATGAGATGTACTAGCTGAGATATAGCTACATTACTGATGAAGTAAACTAACATACTTACAAATAAAATATATACTGTATTTGGGTCTTCGGAGTTCCTGAATCAGATAATCCACATTCTCCTAGAAAATAGAGAACGAAAAACAAACAAAATATGAGGAGAGTTGCATAAATGAAAAAGTAATAAGTGTCGGGGGCCAGCAAATGGCATAGTGGTTACATCGCTGGATTCAGCATGGCTGACTGTGGTTCAAGTCCCAGACCCGGTGACTTGAAAATCACACTGGGTACCCGTGGGTGCATGCCCAAGATCCCAGGAGGGATTGCAGAGGAGAACGGATTGTGGTGTGGTTATCCCCCCCGGGAGGGTGATTTCTCACTTTCCCTCTCACTGTCTCTGTCACTCTCTCTCTCTCACTCTGGTGAGTGCAAATGCCCTAAGTCAAAAATCTCTAAAAAAAAAAAAAACAAAAAAAAAAAACAGGAGGGGGAGAGTTACATTAAATATTAACTAGCTGCATTATCTTGGCCAAATTAATACAAAAAATATAAATGATACAGATGATGAAAGACACCATAAAATTGAAAAGAATTCTGCGAATTTGTTTCAAGCAGCTCATCTATTAATTGTATTTATCTGTTCAAATTCTTATACAGAAGAGCAAAATGTGTCTAGGCCTTCAAAATTCAACATTCAATAGAAGATTTAGTTAATTGGGACAGCAGGTGGTACAGAGTTTAAGGTGCTAGATCCCACATGGCCAGCTTTGTGGTTTCAGTCCGACAGGCAGCTTGAGAATCACTCCAGGCCTGCGTGCATGCATGCCTAGAATCCCGAGAGGAAAGTGGAAGAGAAGGGATTACAGTGCGGCCATCTCCCAGGAGGGTGACTTCTCACTTTGTTTTTCTCTCTCTCTCTTTCTGTCTCTCTCTGGAGAGGACATGCGCCTTTAGCAAAAACTAAAAAGAAAAGAAATAAAAAAAATATATAGTTAATTATATAGTTGATTACATTCACTTTGCCTTTTAACTTTATGGGGACTCTGCAAGACCGCAATGTTTGTGAAGTATTTATAAATAGCAGGGTAAAACCTTTTCTATAATTACATGATTTAAAAATAAAATACAAAAGTTAGAAACTAAAAAAAATTTATTTTTATAGGGTCAAATCATAAGGATTTCGATGATATAAAACAGAACAAGGTTTTATGTTTTTGATACTATAACACATGGTTAAATTTCAGTATGAACTGGGTCCCCATACTAAACATGATATATAATTTTTGAAGTTGTTAAAACACATTTTTTTTTTTTGAGAGATTTTCACTGTAGGGCGCGTGCGCTCGCCAGACAGACAGAGAGAGACAGAGAGACAGAAAGCGAGAAATCACCCCCCAGGGGGGATGGTCACGCCGCAATCCCTTCTCCTCCATTCTCCTCTTGGGATCTTGGGCACGCACGCACACGCGCCCAGCGTGAGTTTAAAACACATTTTTTAACAGAATTAAAAATAAGCAATGTATGTAGCTTGTTAAATGGGAAAAAGTTTTTTTTTAATTGTTGCTTAGGTTAAAAATGCATTAAAATGAACTTTAAAATATAGTTTTAGGAAAAATTGTTTTAATAACAAATATTTTAAATCTATAATTACTTCCTCATAATATGCTAAGCAAGAAAAAAGAAAATGGCAAAGTGAAATAAAAGATTTTCCTGAGATTATATATAGTTAGGAAAGAGGTTTTCTTTCAAATTCTTTTTTTTTTTTTTTTGAGAGGTTTTTGCTATAGGGCGTGTGCGCTCACCAGAAAGACAGAGAGAGACAGAGAGACAGAAAGCAAGAAATCACCCCCGAGGAGAGATGGCCATGCCACAATCCCTTTTCCTCCATTCTCCTCTCGGGATCTTGGGCATGCACGCACACATGCCTGGTGTGAGTTTAAGCCAACAGGTCCAGGACTCGAACCGCAGTTAACTACCTGGGAGTCCAGCGACATAGCCACTATGCCAACTGCTGGTCCCAGGAAAGAAGTTTTCTAATTAAAAGGTTAAAAAATAATGAACTAAACAATCTCTAAGATCTCTCTTGAACCAAAATTTCATGACTAAGAGCTACAAATTGGAGATTGCTATAATACACCATGGATTCACTAACTCAGCAACTATGAACTGAATGTCCACTGTGCAGTAGGCATTGGGGACATAAAAGTGAGAAAAAAAAGTGACATCTCCGATCTCACAAAGCTTACTGCTGATAGGTAAGACAGATTAATTACACAAACTATAGAAAATTTCAACCATGACTAGGCACAGGGGGAGAACGATGGTATTGTAAATGCTTAATAAGAGGGGCCAGTTTGATCTGGTCAGGGAAGGTCTGCTTGAGGAAGTGAAGTTTTAGGCAGAGGGAGGAGCTTGTGCAAAAGTCCTGTGGCCTTTAAAAGATAAGGGATCTTTTAAAAAGTTATAGGAGGGGCCAGCAGGTGGTGTGGTGAAGGCTCTGAACTCCCACATGGCCAACCACAGGTTCAAATTCCTCCCCATGGCCAACTGTGTTTTGAATCTTGGACCTGATGGCTTACTTTCTCACTTTCTCTCTCTAATCAAATAAAGATAATAATAATAATAAATAAAATTAAATAATTCTTTTAAAATATAGCCATGAGAGATATATATTATGAAAAAACTATGCATAGATTTCAAATGTTTTTGCACCAAAATAAAGTTGTACTTTAATTCCATTTTCATGAACCTTTTTTTAAGACTTATTTTATTTTAACTTTATTTATTATTATTATCATTATTATTTTCCAGTTTGATCAGAGAGAGACAGAGAGAAAGTGAGAAAGCAAGCCACCAGGTCTGAGACTTGAACCGTGGTCGGCCATGTGGGAGTCCAGCGCCTTCAACTGCCATGCCACTTGCCGGCCCCTCATGAACCTTTTTTTAAGTCCCCTCATAGTGGACTAAAAGATTAGTGTGGCAAAGGTGCAAGAGTGCTCAAAGAGAAATAGTTTGAAAGGAGGCTAGAGAAATGGCGAGAACTAGGCCACAATTAAGGAGTTTGGTCTTTATCATAAAAGCAATGAGAAGTCATTCAAGATTTCATACAGGTCAGATGATCAGATTTGCGTTTTGGAAAATACATAGCATAAAAGCATGGTAACGATACATTGCAGTTAAAGAACAAGAATGTGAAGCAAGAGTATACAGAATAGGACTGATAGAGGAAAGGATTTTTAAAGGAGAGATTCAGGCTAGATTTAGAAAGTGATGGATAAAAGCAGACAAATGGCTAAAGAACCTTTAATTAGGGGAAGTGAGTAGAAAATAGGGGACATGAATGAGCATGTAGAGGGATGACAAAAAGGCCTATTTGGCTATAGAAGAGCAATAGCGTTGGGATATAATAAGATTGGATATACAAAGGCAAACTAAAAGGGCTAGAAAAGGGCTTCACCTGCTGGGCTACTAAATACAGATTTAATTATGAAAGTAAAATTGAGCCATTATAGGTTTCTGAGCATAAATGTGAACAAAATGGTAAAGATTCAAGATGCTGATAGCTATATAACATTCAGTGATCGTGGGGTTCGGCATGATAGTTGTGGAGGGTAATCCAGGAACAGAGGGACACGGTCTCTGTTAGAGTAGTTAGTGGCTTTGGGAATAGCTGGAATTGCAGGAAGAGCTGGCTGTGAGAGACAACTGAGTTATGGAAAGGAGAATGAAGGTTATACCTCTGACAAACCATGATAATTATGATGCCACAAATGATGATAATACACTTTTATTTTGCCTTCTTTCATATCGAAGTGTTCTGCATTTGCCTGTGAGGCTGGCAGCTGGGTTTATGTAGTACCTTCGTAGGTCGAAGAAAACAAATTGCCTTCAGGTGTTTCATGATCTCTCGATTTTGAGAATCAATGCGTTCAAAAAGGTACACTTCCTTCTGAAGAATCTCTGACTGCGTGTATACCATACTCACTATTCCAGTCTGTAAAGAAAAAGAATGAACTAAGATTATGCTAGTCCAGAATAGTAACAAAAGAAGCAGTAATATCTAAGCCTCCTCCCCGCATTAATACTTAGCTGGATAACTTAAATATTCACATATGGAATAACACACTATCCAAAACAAATAGATAATGTAACCAGAATTTTTTAAATGTTTTTTTTTTCTGAACATGAAGAATCCATCAATTTCAAAAAATAAAATTTCAATCACCTTCAATAATTTAAGTTAGTGACCAACAAACAACCTGTCAACTTGAGTAAGGCCCTAACAGCTTTACTTTAAAAACACAACATGGGGAACAGCAGGTGGTGTAATGGTTATAAGTTGCTGGACTCCTAGTCCAACCCAGTTCGAGTCCCGGACTCAGGGACTTAAAACTCACACCAGACGGGTGTGCGTGCACGCCAAGATCCTAAGAGGAGAATGGAGGAGATGGGATTGGGAGTGGCCACCCCCCTTCCCCAGGTGATTTCTCCCTTTCTGTCTCTCTATCTCTCTCTGCATCTCTGGCGAGCACACGTGCCCTATAGGAAAAATCTCTCAAAATAAAATAATAAATAAAATATAAAAACACAACGTAGAGTGGAAATAATAGGAGCATTCCATTCTCTTCCAATTCCTGTGTCTCACGTATTAATGCTCCCTTAGCAGAAGCATGTAGAAAAGGATTCTTCATTCCAATAAACTGTTCCAGGTACAAGGAATCTCTGGACAGTGGTTAAAGTCCTTCAAGACTAAAAACCCACTGAACAAGTTCTATGCAACTTTTCAGTTCCACACAGAACTGACCCTCATTTAAAAATCTTTTACTAAATGCTAAACCCCACAGTGGAATGGGACCGGCTATTGTAAGGAAGGGAGGGTTCCTTCACAAACAAACGCTGAGCAAAGCGAACTCACCGTCTCTTTATCCATGAGCAGTACTTTCATGCCGGGCCCGCTGTCCTCTATCATTTTGGAAATATACTGTTTCACTGCAAAAACCACGTTCATGGTGGCGAACTGACAGGTGCCCTAGCGTCTTTTTCTTGCTAAATTAACCCCCGGCCTGTTGGCAGGGTCTCAGCTGCTTCCTCCCGGCTGGACTCCGGCTTCCGGGCGCCGGGGCAGCCGGGATGCTGGGAGTTGTAGTTCCGCCGTAGGATCCGGCCCCGGGCTCCCCGAGGGTGCAAAGCCGTGCGAGACGCCCTGAACCACCCGATTCTAGATCCACCTTCCACCGGGAGGTGTTTGAGACAGGATTCTCACCCCCTTTCCGGCCTTCGGTCCTGGATGCCGGGCTACTGCCTGAAGCCCCTGTTGCTGGTTCGGTGAGAGGTGGCGCCTCGGAGGATAAAGAATGAAGGCTGGATCAGGAGCAAGAGCGACAGAGAGTGGCCACGGTCACGATTTACCATCAACTCCGTCTTGGGTGTCAGTGAAGGATGGAGGGAAGGGAGGTGGCATTAATGCTCCTGTTCCCTCGAGACTCGGGGAGACGGCATTTGGTAAATCACAAGCGGTATTTGCTCAGCAGGGGCCGAAACTGGCCTTCCCCCCGGCCCCACCGGGTCTTTAACAAGGCGGGGACTTTGTCCTGGTGTCGATGTGCGAAGTGAGGCCCGAACTGGTTTTCCTAAGACAAAGGAGCATCTGAAACTGAACAGATACTTGTTGAGCACAAATGCACAAAGGGAACGCCTCTTAGGGATGTTTGGGAACGCTTCAGATTCACCGGGTGGGCCCGGAGCTGGGGTCAGCCTCCGGGGAGTGCTGCCGGCGGGAACCGCTGGTGCCGCCCCACCCCTCGTCCGAGCTCTGGGCAATTGCACTTGGCTGGCTCTGGGGGTCGCTAGGTTTACAGAGCCCGAAAGGGGTAGGGGGGATGTGTCCGGTGGGGTTGAAGCAAACCAGAGCGGAGATTTAAAAAGGGAAACTAATCATTTTTTATTTAAAAAAGCAGCAGATATTTAGCAACAAAATTAACCTTAGTCAACTGCCGAAGGTTGCATTTGTGTTTACACTGCAACGGGTCTCCTCTCCATCATGTTATTTCTCGAAAAGGAGGGTAGCTGCTTGTTTTCCCCATCTTCTTTCCTCCCTTCCTTCCTTCCTTCCTCCCTTCCTTCCTTCCTTCCTTCCTTCCTTCCTTCCTTCCTTCCTTCCTTCCTTTCTTCTTTTTTTTTAAGGTTTTTACCTAGGGCGGTGCCCTGACCAGAGAGAGACAGGGAAAGTGAGAAATCCCAGCGGGGGATGGCCAGTCCCTTCTCCATTCTCCTGGGATTTGGGACACGCTTGCTTATGTGCCTAGTGATTTTCAAGCCTCCAGGTCCGGGACTTGAACCACAGTCCCCCATGTGACAGTCCAGTGCCTTAAATACAATGCCACCTGCAGACGCCATGGACTTTTACTTTGGGGAATTGTAAAATTAGGAAGATGAAACAACTGAAAGAAAGTAGTGAGTCTAAATGCTTATAAATATTTCCACCAAAAGAATGGTCCAAGTGTGGGGAGTCAGTTTAATTAACAGACTGAACATTCCCATGTACATTCTTTCATTACATTGTAAGAAGCACACAGTTAAAATAGACCAGTAACACTTAAAACACTGGACTAAGATCATGAAACATTATATACAATGTTCAGATCCTTTAAGGGAGATCAGAAGCCACTGTAAAGAATGTGTTTATTTTTTTCTCCTTTTAAATTTTCCTATCAAATAAATAAGACATTGGCATTTTACTATTTTTGAGATATATTTGAAAGAAAAGTCTTAAGTCGTGTATTAAAGTGAAATGTGAATCTTTAAATGTATATAGATAGTAAAAATCTAATGTGATAATTGTATTATAAATTTAAAATATTCATATATTGTTGAAAACATCAGGACCAGCAGTTGGCGTAATGGCTATGTCGCTGGACTCCCATGTAGCCGACCGCAGTTCTAGTCCTGGACCTGGTGGCTTAAACTTATCCTGGTTGCGTGTACATGCGTCCTCAAGATCCCGAGAGGAGACTGGAGGAGAACGGATTGCGGTGTGGCCATCCCCCCTGGGGGTGATTTCTCTTCCTCTCTCTCTGATGTTTTGGTGAATGCACATGCCCTATACCAAAAACCTCTCCAAAAAAAAAAAAAAAAAAAAACCCAAAGAAAAAGAAAACACCGATAAAGGCTGATAAAAAATAAATTTATTCATGTACAAATTCTATAAATTACTGATATTTGAAAATTTACCTCCAATCTCCCATGTCATTTGGTTTTGGTTTTTCTAACCTAAATTTGGACTGCATTGTAGTATATGTTAACTTTTCTCCATTTTCTGAATTTTTTAGAAAGAACATGGAGGAAAAAAAGGCATGTTGGTAAAATCTGTGCTATTTTTGTAATAGGTGAGAGAATCTACATCCTTTTGGTTATTTACCTTGGGTAGTTATAACTTTAAGAGGGAGGAGGGGGAACCAGCAGTTAGCGTAGTGGCTATGTCGCTGAACTCCCGCGTAGTAGACCGTGGTTCACGTCCCGGACCCGGTGGCTTAAAACTCACGCCGGGTGCGTGTGCGTGCGTGCCCAAGATCCCGAGAGGAGAATGGAGGAGAAGGGATTGTGGCGTGACCATCCCCCCTGGGGGGTGATTTCTCGCTTTCTGTCTCTATGTCCCTGTCTGTCTGGCGAGCGCACGCGCCCGTGATTTAAAAAACCTCAAAAAAAAAAAAAAAAAAAAGAGGGAGGAGGAAAATGCCCTATTTTGACAAGGCTTACTCAGTCATTCCATCTCCCATGAAATCCCATTGCTTTCAGGGGCAGTGTTATTTTGTACATTGCGTGATAAGATTTGGAACATAAATACTTTAAGCAAAATCATTATTATATATTTAAAGGATGCAGTGATGAAGTTTAATAATGTACTTCCTTCCTGAAGACTACCACGCAAGCCATTTTAAATGCCTCCAGATTCAGAACTTCTTTTGTACCCCCATACCTCTAAAAATAGGACTGAAACCAATGATAAAGTCCAAGCTCTCACTGGTGACTCAGCGAGGATAAACCCGGAGCGACTAGTTTTGTCGTAGGCAGCAAACAGCAAATTCAGACCCCAATGTGAAGGGCTTTACTTATCTTATATTTAGACTGTAAGTAAACTATAATAACAAGAAATATTTTAACAATAGAAATTAAATTTTGAAAATCATAACCCTAAATGTGAATGATTACACTAATTATAAAAACTACGAAGTTACTTGAAAATTTTATTTTTGCTAGGTCCAAGAAATCAATGCTTTAGGACAGAAAGTAGAAAGCTGATGGGGCTGGCAGGTGCATGGTGGTGAAGGGTGCTGGACTTCCATATGGCCTACCGTGATTGGAATCCCGGACCTGGTATCTTGCTTTCTCACTTTCCCTTTCTCTATCACTCTGTCTCTCTCTGGTTAAGTTTAAATGAATAAAAGTTAAATAGGATAATGCTTGAAAAAAAATTGAAATAAAGAAATGGTATTTACTTTGTACATTTTATGTAGACGTATAAGTATATATGTAAGTTAAATAATCAGGAATGATTATCCAAATAATTACACGTACTTGAGCTTCTTCCAAAGTGTGTGCTGTTTAGAGGTTTAAGTGCCCATTTTATATTTAATCAAAATCGTGATTTCCCCCATTGGAACTCAAGGTTTCAATATAAAACAATAGGTATGTAATTAAGCTTCAGTATAATTATAATATGATCAACTCCTAGTTCTCTTAGATTATTAATTCTCTATTTACTCTTTGTTGCTTCCTCCTAACACTTTTCTTTTTCTGTTCTTTCTTTCTTTTTTTTTTTTTTTAATGGGTAGGTTTTTGCTATAGGGGATGTGCACTCGCCAGACAGACAGAGACTGACAAAGAGACAGAAAGTGAGAAATCACCCCATGGGGGGATGGCCATGTCGTAATCCCTTCTCCATTCTCCTCTCGGGATCTTGGGCACGCACGCACATGCGCCCTGCATGAGTTTAAGCCACTGGGTCTGGGACTTGAACCGTGGGCGACTACATGGGAGTCCAGCAATGTAACCATTACACCATCACCTAGTACCCCTAACACTTTTCTTACAAGCCCTGGGTAGGAGGGAAGTAATGATGAAATTCAGTGAATCTGAGTCAATTAAATCTGACTTGAGGGGCCAGCAGGTAGTGTAGTAGTTGAGGGGCTGGATTTCCATATGGCTAAATGTGGTTTAGGTCCCGGACCCACAGGCTTGAAACTCATGTAGGGTACATGTGCGTACATGCCCAAAATCCCAAGAGGAGAATGGAGGGTGAGAGAGTGCAGCTGGCTATCACACCCCCCCGGGGGGGGGATTTCTCACTTTCTCACTCTCCGTGTCTCCCGTGAGAGCATACACAATATAGCAAAAATCTCTTTTAAAACTAACAAACAAAAAACTGCTTGATAGAAAATGAAAAAATATTTGGAAGAAGAATGGCTGTATTGCTAATGTCAGATAACCAGTCTTTTTGCAATGTTCTTAACCTCTCGAACTGTTTTCTCATTTGATAAATGGTGGTAAGATAATCTAGCTCATGAAATCAGGAGAATTAAATGATGTGCAGACAAGTATTTTATACAGTGCCTGGCACGTAGTAAATGCTCAGTAAATATCAACTTTAATTATTAGAAGTCAAAAGATAGACATACTTTTTAGGTTATTGTTAACTAATGGCATTATTTATTTTCTGTTTATAGGAAAATATAAAAATAGAATTGATTCAGAATTTGTAAGCTATAGCTTCCAAATATAATTTCCATAAAAAATTATCTCATATTAATATATAATAATAGAAATACTAATATGAAGATTTGGCCTGCTGCATTGTAATTTGTAAAGCATATGATTTTTTTTTTTTGAGAGGTTTTCGCTATAGGGTGTGTGCACTCACCAGACAGACAGAGAGAGACATAGAGACAGAAAGTGAGAAATCACCCCCCAGGGGGGGTGGCCACGCCGCAATCCCTTCTCCTCCATTCTCCTCTCGGGATCTTGGGCACGCACGCACATGTGCCCGGCATGAGTTTTAAGCCACCGGGTCCAGGACTCGAACTGTGGTCGACTACATGGGAGTCCAGCGATATAGCCATTATGCTAACTGCTGGTCCCAAGCATATGATTTTTATAAAGACATACTAATGACCTAATTTTAATTTATCACTTTTTAAAAAAATTTTGCTATAGGGTGTGTGCACTTGCTGGAGACAGAGATAGAGATATCACCCCTCTGAGGGATGGCCACCTGGAATCCCTTCTCTTCCATTCTCCTCTTGGGATTTTGGGCACACACACACACACACACACACACACACACATGCTTAGTGTGTTTTTCAAGCTGCCATTCTATGACTTGACCTGTGAAGTCAGCCATGGGGATCTAGCCATCTTAACCACCATACAACAGTTAGCCCAATTTATTACTTTTTTTTTTTTTTAAGAGATTTTTGTTATAGGTTGTGTGCGCTCACCAGAGAGAGAGAGACGGAAAACAAGAACTCACCCCCCAGGGGAGATGACCACACCACAATCCCTTCTCTTCCATTCTCCTCTCAGGATTTTGGGCACACATGCATATGCACCCAGCATGAGTTTGATGAGTTTGAAGTTTCCAGGTCCAGGACTCAAACTGTGATCAACTATGTAGGAGTCCAGCTATGTAACCATCACACCAACCGCTGGTCCCCCGATTTATTACTTTTAAAAAAAATCGATTTTGAGATATAGTCACATTCTTAGGGAATGGAGGTTAGGACGATAACATGGATGTGGGGGGACACAGTCCATCCGTAATGGA